AATTTTGTCACATTTTAAGTTTTTGTGTCACTTTTTAAGAAGATAAAAAAAATGAAATAATATATTATATTTTTCTAACATAATCAGCATGTGGATTTGCCTGAATGTGGTAATTATTTTAAGAACATGATTAACGGTACAGCACAAACGGATGACGTTATTTCGATATTTGTCAATTTTTTTTAATTTGTGTCACTTTTTTAAAAAAAGTGACAATTTTTATAAAAAAGTGGCATTGTGTCACTTTTTTATTTTACACAGTATTTTTTACTTCCTAAAAACTTTTTACATGATTTTTCAAAACACCCCTAATTTTAAGGGTATTTTTGTAAGTACCCCAATATTATTTCAACCAATAAACGTTGCCCAATAACTCAAGGAAACCGACCCGAAATCTATCGCTACATGTGCTGCTCTTGACCCTTGAATTCATGGCTGATCTACGATGACTGTGGAGTGTATATATGGAAGATGTGTGGTCACTTGAGCCCTAATTTTTCATTTTGTTCCTGATTCGTGTGAGAAAAGCTTCTTGGTTCTTTTCCTTCATTCCCTCTTCCCTTGATTCTCTCTTTCAATACTTAGTGTAGAGATTAAAACTTCAAGTGTTAATTATCAATCTTTGGATTATGGTTTTTGTGATTCTTCGATTGAGAGTTTAGCTGATGTAGATTGCCTGTGTAATCTTGAATCATTGAGTAGCGATGTTGTACGATTTCTTTAGGGTTTGTTACACAGAAACACCAACAAAGGAACATCAAAAGGGTACAAAGTTTTGTATTCTGAACCCAAATAATAATCGAATCCTCTTGGTGTTGGTGTTTGATTTCTTCTTCGTGAATCTTGGTTATTGCTTCCGTCTATGTTGGCTCTACAAGTAGTATCAGAGCCTTCTTAGTGGCTCTCTGGTTCTTCGATTGGCGGTGCAGGGTATGGAAATCAATTTCACAACCCTTTCTTCACTAATCTCATTTTATAGTGAAAACCCTAGACTTTGATATAGCTACTTGGTTTCCGTTTTTGTTTTCTTGAGGGAAACTGATTCTTGGTGAACGGGCTTGGAGATTGAGTTTCGAGCTAGTGGTCCTGCTGAATCCCTGGAATTTTTCTTGGTGTGGTGACAATTCATACCCCCTTTTATTATCGTGTTATTTGATCTTGAATATTGATAATTCCCCCATGTTTCCCCTATTAAGCCTTCTTATTCTCTGGTGATTAAAAATTGAGCCTTGACCTGGTATCGTGAACCTCATGGAATCCTAGTGAATTCCAACATCAGAAATGGGAAGAATTTTTCATATTAATCTGTTTAATATATTGTAGCTGAAATTGGTGAATCACTATGATTATTAATTTGTTTAATTTCTCTGTTGATTTTGTTTCTCAATGAGATTATTACTCTCGTTATATTCACTCTTAATTGTTTCATGTTATTTTTCACCGTCTTATTGGACTGTTGATTTGAGAGATATTTCTTTTTTTTTGTGTGTGTTACACTGTGGTTTGTGTGATATTCTATTGGTTTTGAAATATCCGTTTTCTGCTTTTCTGTTAAACTATGACCTCAAATACCTTTTTGTGTTGATTAAAAACTTCAAATGACAACTACAACGTTTGAATTTGGAGTTTTTAATGAAAAAGGGGATTTTTTCCATTTGGCAGCAAAAAATGAAAGGGGTCTTAGTTCAACAGAAAGTCTCTAAGGCTATAACTGGTGAATTTCCTGCTACTGTGATGATGATAAAAAACTTGAATATGATGAACTTGCTTATACCTCTATAATTCTTCATTTGTCTGATCAAGTGTTGAGAAAAATTGGAAAACTTGATAATGCTAAAGTTTTGTGGGACAAATTAGAAGAACAATATATGTCTAAGAGTCTGCCTGATAAACTCTTCCTCCTAGAAAGGTTCTTTAGCTTTAAGATTGATATGTCTAAAGATTTAGTGATAATCTTGATACTTTTAATAAATTAGTTCAAGATATTACTAATGTTGGGGATAAAGTTTCGGAAAAATATAACGTTGTTATCCTTCTAAATGTTATACTTGATGTATATAAGGATGTTAAGTCTGCTATTAAGTATGGTAGAGATACCTTAACTCATGAGATAGTGATTAATTATTTGAGAAGTAAGGAATTAGAGGTTAAGATTGATAAGACTGGGAAGGAATTTGAGAGTTTATTTGTGAGATGGAGACATATGTCTAGGTAAGTGAATGGTCAGAGTCATCAGGGGCTAAGAAGAATGGGAAATGAAGTTTTAGATCAAAGTCTAGGAGTAGAAATATGAAGTGATATGAGTGTGGAAAGACAGAGAGAGATGAGAATGGATGAGTGGAATGTAGTAGAACCCCTAGATGAGAGAACTGTTGATGTGTATGTGGTGACAAAACCCATTTCTGATTTGAATATTGTAAATTATGTAGATAACAGTGATCAGAATAGTGAATGGATTCTGGATTCAGGGTGTACTTTCTATATGACCTCTAAAAGACCTTGGTTAGAAAACTTTAATGATCTTGATGGTGGAGAAGTGGTTATGGGTTACAATGTAGCTTGTATGATTAGAGAAATTGGTAATGTGACTTTGAAATTTGAAAATGGATATACCTTTACTCTAAAAAGAGTAGGATATGTTCTTGATTTGAATAGAAACTTGATTTCTATGGGTGATCTAGATGGCATAGGCCTGCAAGGCAAGATTGAAGACGGTTCTTTGAAAGTAATTAAGGGTTCCTTAATTATTTTCAAAGGTACCAAGAGGAATGGTATTTATGTCACTAGAGCCAGTATAGTTCAGAGTCACACTGTTTAGTCCTCTAGTGCTGAGATTGATGCTATCCTGAAATGACATAATAGGCATGCACATGGGAGTGAAAAGGGGTTGCACATTTTGGATGGGAAATGGGCATTTGGTAAGAATGTGATTTCTAAGGTTACTTTCTATGTATATTGTACCTTAGGAAAACAACATAAACTTCATTTTAATATTGGACAGCATAAGACTGCATCTATTCTTGAGTATATTCATTTTGACCTGTGGGGCCCATCATCTACTACCACTCAATGTGGTAATTGATATTTTTTTATCGCTGATTGATATTTTTCAAGAAAGGTTTGGTTGGATTTATCTTTTAAAACAAAAATCAAATACTTTTGAAAATTTTAAAAATAGGAAAACTTTAATTGAAAATTAAATGGATGAAAAGATCAAAGTTTTAAGAATAGACGATGGTCTGAAATTTTGTAATTATGAATTTGATCAACTTTGTAAAGATGATGGGATCCCCATGCATAAAACTGCTCCTTATACTCCTAAGCAAAATAGGGTTAAGAATAAATATGACTATTTTAGATAATGTTAGATGCATGATGATTAGTTCTGGAGTTCCCAAAGTCTTTTGTGGTGGGGCTGTTATGAAAGCAGTGTATATTGTGAATATGCCTCCTTCCAGTGCTTTAGATGGTAAGACACCTAAAGAGGTATGGCCAGGGAAATTATCTGAATATACTATTTTGAGAACTTTTGGGTATGATGTATATTCTCACTAAAGTCTAAGCAAATTGGAGCCTAGATCTCATAAATGTGTTTTCAAGAGATATCCTGAAGGAGTTAAAGGATACAGACTTTGGGCTAGAGATGAGAAGGGTTTTAAGATGATAACCAGTAGGAATGTGACTTTTAATGAAGCTGATATGCCTTGTTTAAGTAAGAAAGTTTCTAGTGATATTCCTGAGAGTGAAAAAGATGAGAAGACTAGGATGCATGTGAAATTGGGTTACTTTCCTGAACTTGTTGAGGAGGAACAAGTTGAGAATGAAGTTGGTGAGGAGAGTGATGGTGTTACTGGTTCACATGAACCTATTGAAGGTAGTGAACATGACTTAGTAAATGAATTAGTTGATCCTTTGAGTGATTATCAACTTGCCCATGATAGAACTATGATGAAGATAAGGGAACTTGCTAGGATGAGTGATTATCAATCATTTGTTGTTTTATCATGTTTAGACTTAACTTTTAAGGAGTCTAAATCTTATGAAGAGGCTTCAAGTTGTCAACAATCAGATGAGTGTCTAGGTGTTGTGGAAGAAGAAATGAAGTCCATAGTAAAGAATAATACTTGAAAATTAGTTCATAAACCTGAGAATAAGTCTTCAGTACAGCTTCTTAGGTTTAAAGCTAGACTAGTTGCAAAGGGGTTTACATAAAAACCCGATATTGATTACAATGAAAATTTCTCTCATGTTGTTAAATACACTACTATAAGAGTCACGGCTTCTTTGGTTGTTCAATATGATTTAGAACTTGAATAAATGATGTTAAACTGCCTTCTTGCATGGTGACTTAGATGAAACGATTTATATGGTTCAACCACAAGGTTTCATTGATTCTTAAACATCTAATCATGTTTGTCTTTTAAATAGGTCTTTGTATGATTTAAAACAATAACCTAGGCAATGCTATAAAAAATTTGACAATTTTGTGTCATCTATTGATTTTATAAGAAGTGCCTTTAATCATTGTCTTTATTTTAAAAGAAATGATAGTAATGCTGTGATTGTTTATCTTCTTTTGTATGTTGATGATATGCTGTTGATTGGACATAAAATAAGTGATATAAATGATATTAAAAATGATTTAAGTGCTGAATTTGAAATGAAAGACTTAGAACATACTATGAGAATCCTAGGAATGGATATTAAAAGAAATAGATCACAATAATATCTTTTTTTAACACAATCTGATTATGTGAAAAATGTGTTGTCCAAGTTTGCTATGCATGATTCTAAGTCTGTTACGTTGCCTCTTGCTTGTCATTTTAAGTTGAGTAAAGAACAATGTCCATATGATGAATTTGATATCAAATATATGCAAAAAGTGCTTTATGCTAATGCTGTTGGATCTGTTATGTATACTATGGTGTGTACTAGACCTGATGTTGTACATGCAATTAGCATTTTGAGTAGGTTTATGGTAAACGCATGTCCTGAACATTAGACTACTTTAAAATGGCTTTTAAGATACTTAAAAGGTTCTGTAGATTTATATTTGCATTTTAAATTTTATAAATAGGGAGTTGTGTTAAAAGGATATATGGATTCTGATTATACTAGTAATAAGGATAATAAAAAATCAACAACTGCATATATGTTTACTTTGTATTGAACTTGCATAAGTTAGAAATCTCAATTGCAGTATATTGTTGCCTTATCTACTACAGAAGCTGAATATGTAGTTGCTACTGAATCTATTAAAGAGTCTTTATGTCTTAAATGCTTGTTGAGTGAATTAAATGAATTGCGTAATCCTATTGTTGTTTATTGTGATAGCCAAAGTAACATTCATTTGTGTAAAAACCCAGCTTTTCATGATAAGACTAAACATAGAGATGTTAGGATGCATTTCATTAGAGATATAGTTCAAAAACAGTCCATATTGCTTGAAAAAATCCCTACACAATTTAATCCCGCTGATATGGAAACAAATGTACTTCATCTAAACAAATTTAAGTCTTATTTGCAAATTCTAAGAATTGATACTAGTTAAACTTTGTGTTTTTTCTGCAGGTTTTGAATCTTCCTGATAAAAACTAATGTGTTTGATTGTTTATAACATTGGCATCAATGGGGAGATTTGATGGGTTATGATGCCATTCTTGTTAATTGCATCTAAACAATTTGGGCAATGATGAAACGGGCTTGGCCCAATTGCTGGAAATATTATTTCAACCAATAAACATTGCCCAATAATTCAAGGAAATCGGCCCAAAACCCAGCCCAGTCTATCGCCACGTGTGCTGCTCTGGACCCTCGATTTCATGACTGATCTACGGTGACTGTGAAGTGTATATATAGAAGATGTGTGGTCACTTGAGCCCTAATTTTTCATTATGTTCCTGCTTCGTGTGTGAGAAGCTTCTGGGTTCTTTTCCTTCGTGCTCTCTTCTCTTGATTCCCTCTTTCAATACTTTGTGTAGAGATTAAAACTTTTGGTTTTAATCATCAATCTATGTGATTGTGGTCTTTATGACTCTTCGATTGAGAGTTTAGCTGATATAGATTGGCTATGTACTCTTGAACCGTTGAGTAGCTGTGTTGTGAGATTTCTTTAGGGTTTGTTGGTGTCTTTGTGGCTGTTTTCTTGTACAAAAGGGTACAATGAGTTTTGTATTCTGAGCCCAAATAATAATCGAATCCTCTTGGTGTTGGTGTTTGATTTCTTCTTTGTGAATCTTGGTTATTGCTTTGGTCTGTGTTGGCTCTTCAAAAAATTGTATTGGGACCACTCTAACTTATATGAAAAATAGGAAAAACGTTGACACATGCTAGGAAGAAAATGAAGAGACATATAATAAAGGAAAATCATGAAAAACCTTTTGAGGTTTGAGCACCCTGTCGAGTATTTTAAAGAAACCGAGCTTCTCAACACCATTACAACATATTAAAAATATACATATTAATTATGTCTTTAAACTTTTAATGCTACATACTAAATGTTGTGTCCAAATTTGTAATTGGGAATTTCTAAATTTGTAAATGACAATTTTCGTATTCAAAATCATGAGTTATTGAGTTGTAATTATAGTCCAAATAATTTGAGATTGGTAGAGTCCTTCAATGAGTTGAAGAAATTCAAGAGACGGCGCTGGCCACGTGTTGAGAGCTCGAGCACTCAAAACAAGAAGGTAGCCGCTTGCGGGCGTGAGCCCGTCGCTTGACCGGCGGACTGATCGCTTGCTAGGTGATAAGTGTAGTTTTTATACTTATTCATGACACTAAATCATGATATTTTATTGTCTTTTGAATTAAATTTTACATAATTTAATCAATCACGTTTCATCAATTTTTGGTGATATCTTTCCACTTTTGCGAGTTTAAATTCAATTTTATGAGTGGCTAAATATTTTTATTGTTAGGATTGATGACGTAATTTATGATTTTTATTATATGTTTAATTGCAATATTTCTATGTCATTTCAATATTTGTTAATTAATTATTGTGTGTTTAATACTATTATTTGTTTGCGCAACACTTAATTGATTTAGGGATAATATAGAGACCGAGAGGTGACGTATAATTCTAGCACGTGCAATAATTAACATAGACATTATAAGATATCGAGAGATAATTATAATCTATGCGATCTTTGTTAAATTCCTGTGGATAAATATGTTCATATGTGTGTGAATTTATATAGAGATACAATAAGTTAGGGCATATGGATAGAATTAGTGTTGTTTGAGAGAGATCACTAAATACAATATGTTAATTCGATCATTGGCACATATGAAATATGGTTGAATAAATTGGAATTAAATGTATGCTAAATAACCTAAGTGAAATCGAAAATTCTAACTATCCAATCACATAATCTTATTTACAGTTTTAATTTGAGTTTGTTATTTTATTTAATAGTTCCCTATTTTATTTATTAGAATTTCATTTAGAAAATAAATTTTGATTTGATTATTAGTTATCATTTTAATTTAAATTGAAATTAGGTTAGTTAAAATTTTATAGTAGATAGTAGTCCATGTGGGACGATATTCGGACTTAATAAATTCACTTTACTACTTGTCACGATCCGTACACTTGCAAAATTTAACGAACACTAGGCGCTGGGCACAGAGCTGGAGCAGCGCATGTGTCCGGGAACAATTCAAATTCAATTTTAGTGCAGGTTTTCAATCTTATTTCATACAAAACACTACCCATTATAAATATACAAGTCATAAAACGTTTCAAAGTGTGTTGAATCATTATTTCATTATAGAGATCACATTATTCAAGATCAAAAATACCTTTAATTGATCTCATTCAATATGTCCAAAAACTAGTAAAATTAGTCAATAGAAATTTTATTTTTTCACTAGATCTAGACCCATAATTAAATTCACGTTATAACATTAATTAATCATACAAAAGATGTGGAATTAAGTTTGAAGTGTGATCAAACTTGAATCTTAAATTCTTTATCTTGACAACAACTATTTCACTCATTCTTGAATCTTCAAGCTTCTAAGCTTCTAAGCTTCATATCTTCTTTCGAAGTGTAAATTACAAATGGTGAGTGGACACCTCAATACCAAATCAAGAATCCACGACCGTTATGGAACAAGAATAAGGTCTCTCTTATTCTTGTTTCCCATTTCCAATTTACCTATTCATCTATTTTGTCCTTTTTGAACATGTAGTTCTTCAACTATTATTAATAATGCAATTATGTCCCAAACTTTTCCTGAAGCTACTAATGAATCCGATTAGACTTACATATTTTATGTTGCAATAAATATACTCAGTCAAGCCAGTTTGAGACTGTCCTAGTATAATTATTGGTTTTCACAATTTTCACTAACAGCGAAAACCGAACTTATAAACTATGCCCTCGTTTGATAGGAATAAAAATCAGATTTTTAATAGATTTTGATAAAAGTTGATGAATTATATGGTTAAAAAGTTGTGAATCATATGAAATATGTAATTAAAATTAATTATTGTTGACTTTGATTTAAATTAAAATCAGGATTTTAATCCATATCAAACAGGGTCATAGAAACAATATAAATTAATTTCCTACAATTTATATCATCTTGACTTGTCATCTATATGTAGACGTCGTGTATGTGTGTGCGTACACACCATTTTGCCTTTCTATTATTTTTACACTTGTGGGTCATATTACGGTTTCTTCTTTAAAGAAAATATCCTTTTGGGCTCATTTACCTACCGTACAAGGTGACGAATTACGAACGCAAATACGTGCTCACTACTTTAATTTCTAATATTAGTTCCTAGCATACCAATATGATGGTCGTAACTAGATGATCTCACTCATTGGCATATTAAATGACCTCATATTTGTAAATAGTAATCACTATCCTATAATGGATTTAGGTAATCCATAAGAAGTCATATGTGATTAATTACTTTGCACAATCCACTCTAAATTAATCAACACTTTTAGGGATGGCAAAAAAATTTGACAAATCCGATACCTGTGGGCCCCACCCCGAACGTGGCAAGGATTACTCGCTTAATCGGGTATTCGGGTTGGGATCGGGGACGGGACAGGTAACTGCGCCCGATGCAGGTACAGGTAATGGGTATCCCACTTTGTCCCGTTTAATTATTATTATTATTATATGGTAGTAAACGAGACAAGGGTCCTACCCCATCTTAAACGGGTAACAGGGAGGGGGAGGCCGTCCCGACTCCAAACAACCTCGTTGTCATCCCTAAACACTTTAATTGTTTCAGACCTATTCACATCCAGGTGTATTGATGTAGTGACTTCCGAAGGGATAATGTCAAGGTCTCGATTGAAATATAAACCACTAAATTAAAAATATTGTTAACAAACAAGACAGAATGTATTAGGCACTAATCCCAACACAATAAGCTGCAGAATATTGACAAATAAAACAAGTTGTTCAAGAGTAACTCCACGGCTAATATTTCTATATATCATATTATTTCATATTACATATTCGGATGTACAATTTTTACAAAGCAAATGATTCAAGAGGAACTATACAACTAATATATCTATATATTAAATTATTTCGAGAAGTGCTACATGTACATAAATCTATACATAATGGTGTCTATAATTACACGTGGCAATGAATCCAGAGATATGCTTGGTGTACATAATTTATGTACATAGTGGTATACATAACACTCACATAGGTGGGGTCCACTCTAATAAAATATTCGAGTGGACCCCATCTCCTTGTGAGTGTTATGTACATCTCTATGTACAATCATTATGTACATGTAGACTTATTCATGGATCCAATCATTAATTCAAATCTCACACTTTTACATCAACAACAGGATGTTGTTCACGTCACATTATGGACACTATTATGTACATGTAGACTTTTCCAATTATTTCATAGGCGATTCCATACCACTAGACACTTTAAGAAAGAAAAATGAGCGAAACTATCATTTCTTGTACTGGTTAATCCATTTTGATACTACTTACCAAACTGCACTGCAATTTCAACGTAGCCACCATCTGCAGCTATTACTTGATCTAACAACACAGAATTCAAATACTAAAACTTCTTGATCATAGACCTCAGCAGCAATTTTAGGAATCTTCAAGTAATTCCTACATAAAGGGCATGTACAGTGCCCATATCCAACCCACCTATCTAAACAAACTCTATGAAAAACATGTTTGCAATATTTCAGCTCTCTAACTTCATCTTGTTCATCAATATTGCATAAGCAAATTGCACATTCTGCTGCATCCATAGATTCAGTTATATTTCGTGGCCCAATACGCGTTCTGCTGAATTCATCCAGATTTTGCAGCCTGTTGAAACTGAGATGCTGTTGAAAGAAGGATTGGTGAAGAAGGAAATCCCGAGCCCATTTCAACTGCGAGATTATTTGACAAATTGTTTTGAAAATAAGTGATTGAGGAAGGATTTGGAACATGTTTCTGGTAGAGAATATGAAGATTGCTAAAGGAGGAAGTATATAGAGGGCTGAGGGTATTTGCATTTTTGCTTTGTGTTGTGTGAGATAATTTCGTTTGGGAGACAAATGGTGAGGAGTATATATAGACAATCATGGGGCTCCGGCTCCGGAAGTTAAACATTTTTATATGGCTTAATAGCACAAAATGTCCCTACGTTTGACACTTCTTGCAGAAAATGCCCATACGTTTCATTTTTTTTTTTTTTTTGCATTTTCGTCCTTATTTCAACGTTTCATTGCGGAAAACATCTTTTTTCACCATTTTAACGTAAAATGACAAATATACCCT